ACACACACTCATACACTATTTTCATCTGCGTCTTCCAATATTCTAGTTTAGACTGAGATCAGTATCCAGGTCTTACAAGTTCATACTGGCCACAGACCAGGCCATGAGTACATTTACTTTACGATATAAGATTTTTGGGTCCTTGGAAAATCATTAATTCGTTTGGTTTTTTATCTCTCTCTCATTTGCAGAACATCTTGAATATCCCTAAAAGTAATATTCCACCTGTGTAAAATCACCCTCCAGGGAGTTCCAAGTATTCATACAGATCCTCATCGAGTGGACAGCTCCTGCTGCTCGCCGGCCTCCGGCTCTCTGAACCTGCGGTACACAGGTCTCCGGAGAGGCCCAGTGTGCTGGAAACGATCCCCCTCACCATTCTGAGGGCTCCCGCTGCCTGAATCCCATCCTCCTTCACGCCTTTCTTTCCTTCCAACCTGATAGTTTATTTAGGTGAGACATTTTTCCCCTGGTAGTTTCCTTTAAAAAACCCCACATGAGTAAGTTTTTGAGCCCTCCTCTCACATGTCTGGCAATAACTGTTCCACTACTGATCATCTGGAGGGGTCTACACATCCTTCAAAACTTCCCATGCAGTACTCCAGTGTCTTCTCACTGCGTGCTTTAGAGAGCTGGGGAGCCAATGGTGTTAGGCAGACTAGGGTCCTCCAACGAGGTCCACAGCCCAATCCCTATCACCCAGGAATATGCCCAATTACTGGGCAAAGGGGAATTAAGGTTGCAGATAGAATAAGGGCCCCAATCCGTTGGTCTTAAAACAGGGAGGTTAGTCTGTATTAGCTGAGTGGACACGATGTCATCAAAGAGATCCGTAAAATTGTTAGAGGAGGCAGAAGAGGTAGAGGCTGGTGTGACGGTGGAAAAGAGCTGGAATCACAGCCTGACAATGCTGACTCGGAAGGTGGCGGAAAGAGGTCGTGAACCAGGGAGGGCAGGGATTTTCAACAGCTGGAAAAGGCAAAACCCAAGGTTTTGAGTGAATCAGAAATTCACTGTTCCACGTCAAGGAAGTATTTCATAGGAAGGGTGTGCCACCCGTCGAAGGACCTCTAACCGGTTTCTAGACTCTGGCTCCTAAGAATAAAGCAGCTCCCAACATGAGCGCCCGAGATGCAACTTGGTTAGAAATAATTGACCAATGCATGAAACAAATCATCCCTTTGCCCCCACCCTTTCAGTCGGGGAGTACGTTTTAAAGAAAACACCCAAGACAAACACGTGGCTGAATGAACTATTGTCCCTGGAGACTGTAGCCTCTGTGACCCTGGGCCCAGAGGGATGAGATGGTGTCCAGCCGACACTGCCTGCCACCCAGAAAGGGATCGCATGAGAAGGTCTGAGACGGAGTGTGAGAAAATGAGGGGCAAGACTCTAAATCATTACAAAAAGGAGAAAAGAAAAAGACTAGGCTTGCGGGTTGGGTAGACTAGTGGAACCTCCCTGATAAGGTCCTACAGGCCTGGAACAGTGCACCCCATGGGATTTTCAGCCCGACAAAAGGCAGGTCTATAATGTGAGCAACAGCATGAGGGAGGCAGGCATTTCCTGCAGTCAGCTCCTTTGAATCACACTGGCAGCATGTACCCAGGGCCTACATTCAGAAGGCAGAAGGGCTTGAGAGGGAGGAAATAATGGACAGGGGAAGTGTAGGGACATAGGTGTGCTGACTGCAATCAGTGACACAAAACAGTGAGTAGGGATTTTTTTAATGGAAAACGGATTTCCGCTGTAAACCTTCACTCAATAAAAATTTTTAAAAAGAAATAGGAAAAAGAACCCAAACCATGGGGAAAGTTCTATCTAAGAATAGCGTCACAGTGGTACTTTAGGTAGTAAAAAATGTCATATTTGCCTATGTGCATTTGTACATTTAAGATAGCTCAGTACATGGTAGTCAAGATGGATGACCCATCAGAGACACTGACAGGAGAAGGGTTCCCTGAGGGTATGGGAAGTGGGGGGGAGGGAGGAGAGTTGATAGCACTGATGACTGATTGTATAGCCCCACCCGATGGGATTGGACAACAGAACTGTATGGGATGGGAAGGGAAATATTGGAATGAGTAAAATATGTCAATAAGAATATTATTGCAATGACAATAATAATAATAATTTACAAATTATCAAGGGTTCAGGAGGGAGGGGAAAAAACGAGGAGCTGATACCAAGGGCTCAAGTAGAAAGTAAATGTTTTGAACAAGATGATGGTAACACATGTACAAATGTGCTTGACAAAATGGATGGGTGGATGGATTGTGATAAGAGTTGTATGAACCCCCAATAAAATGATTTTTTAAAAAAAGAATATTATTCCAAAAGGGAAAAAGATATAGAGCAGCTATGTTTTAAAGGGGGAGGGGCATATCCATTAATGAGGGGATGGTTACATAAAACATGGAATGCATACCGTGCTTGTTGTATACATGCAATCACAACAAAAACAAACATAGCCTTAAGTAAACAAATTACAGGCAGTAAATGCAGGCACACTGTCATTATAACCCCGTGAAACCCACTGTGAACGGTAGCCATTTACCCCTATACAACTTGTGTTTACAGAAGCATGCTTTTCTTATCCCATTGCCATGCACATCGCTCTGCTCCTCAGAAAACTCGTGCCCGGGCAACTGACCTTGTTCTTCATCACAGGGCCTTCTCAGCAGACCTACCAACTCTTTAGGGAAGGTACCAATCAATCATCTATATCCTAAAACTCTTTGAGTCCCTCTGTTTAAAACTGTCTTGTTGTTCCCACCAACCTTAGAAACTCTTATATCAGGATATTTACAAAATACCAATCAAGGCCCTCAGTGGAAGACCCACCTTAAACCAAAGACCAAAATGTCAGTGAAACCAGCCCTTTGCCCTTCCCCGTCTGGACATTAGTGTTAACCTGTTAGGTGATGCTCCCCCTAGTGGCAGTGAGCGATCATAAACTGGCCGCTGTCATAACACAGTGGTTCTCAACCTGTGGGTCCTGATCCCCCTTGGGGGGATCAAACGATCCTTTCACAGGGGTCACCTAAAACTTTTGGAAAAGATATAAATGGTTCAAAATATATAATTACGTACTGTTTTGCGATTAACCACTATGCTGTATGTTTAATTATACTCAATTTTTCACAATGAAAATACATCCTGCATATCAGATATTTACATGATGATTCATAACAGTAGCAAAATTACAGTTATGAAGTAGCAGCAAAAATAATTTTATGGTTGGGGTGTCACCACAACATGAGGAAGGTTGAAAACCACTATCTTAACAGATTGTGTGGGTGACACGGGAAACTGGCATGCAACAATGTAGAAAAACCTTGGTAATCCATGTAAACCACAGACCCGTGGCCATCGATTCCACTGGCTTGAAAGGAATCTATCTAGGGATTCTGAGACTGGACATCGTGACGGGGACAGAGAGCCCGTCTTTCTCCTGCAGAGGGGCTTGATGGGCAGTCCTTTGGGTTAGCAGCCCAGCGGAACACCTAATACATTCATGTACAGAGACAGAAGGATTATGCAAAAACAATAATGGTAAGGGGTTTGTATTCCTATCATTTTTTCAAGCTTTCAAAAATGATGTTCTTACATAATCCAGGCAAGACTTATTTCAAAAAGTAACACAGAATTCACCAGTCACCTTTTAAAGGCTAACGATCAAATAAAGGCAAAGCTTGTTCTTCTCTTTGTTGTGTTTCGTAGAACAATCAATAGCAGTCCAGAGAGAGGACTACTTAGGGAGGAAACTGGCCTGTTCATACTGTAATTATGCTTGTACAATCGAAATACTTCAGAGCTCAGTTGTAATGAAAATGGGCCCCAAATGCTCTACATTCACTCAGTTAATGCTGAGAAACAAATCAGGAGCACACCGATGACGGCCTTTCAATGCGTTTTGGTATCTGATGGGACAGAGGCTTTCAACAGCGGCCCGCTCAGTACTGTTACATAAAACAAGCACAGCACAGCACAGATGCATCTCGTAAATGAAAGGCCAGGCTTCATCAACAGAAACCTCATAGTTACCAGGCTATGCGACACTTGTCGAATCCCCTCCCTGTTGCTTTATGAAAACCAGGGTGAAAGACTGGCACAGAGAGCGTGTGTTGCAGCTGGCAAAGGCGGCCAACAATTCAACAATTCCCCTGTACACGGAAACAGCTTATCTGTTTTGTGTCAAGGTGTCTGAGTTAGTTAATTATGCCAGCCTGGCCGATAATCACATGTGGTGCTGGTTGAAAGGCGGAGGGATAAATGGGTGGTGAAGCCTCGCCTTTCTAGTTCTCGGGTCTCTTGTTTTGTGATGGTTGCATCGGGTGCAGCTGCCTTAGCAGTTCCCTGCTTCAGCTTGCAAGATTGACTTCCTACAAGACATCCCCAAGGAGAAGCCGCATGGATCTATCCCGATGCAGCCCTGGGTGCTGGAGCAGCCGTGTGGAGACCCCTGCCAGTGCTGAGATGCTTACACGTTCACTGACTCAGCTTTCCTCCTGCAGTTGGCATCATTGCCTCTGTTTTGTGAGGTGGAGGACTTTGTGGACTGGTGTTGGGTATGGGTTAATGTTGGACTTGTGGGCTTGGGCAGCATTGGGTTGGGATGTTTTCGTGATGCACATTTTCTTTGCATAAAACTCTCTCTTATACGTGAGTTGCTGTGGATTTGTTTCTCCAAAGTACCCAGACTAATACAGTGTCTAATGCACACACACTTCGATGCTTTGAGTGTGACACTGGCTCTGGGTAAAGTAAGTGGCTGGTCAGCCCCTGAGGGGGTAATCTTACCTTCTCCACCGGCTAGGAGCTCAAACTGTCAACTACTAAAGGGTTGCTCTCCATGGAATGGACGAGCTTCGGCGGGAGGAGGAAGTACATGAATGGAGGCAACAAGGTCTAGCGACAAAGTCTGAATGATTTAACAAGGCCAGGCGATTTCCACAGTTCAGACTATGACACACCAGTGAGAGGAATAAAGACAAATATTAAGATTAATCAGGGAATTTTATTTAATATTTAACATTCAGCAGCAACCAACACGAACAGTTGCGCAAACTGAATCTCCTGAATGTTCTGCTGTGGAGCTGCTTCAGAGAAACACGCCGATGGCAACTGTGACTGTCCATTGCTAGACATTAAAAACTCAAAGAAAAACCAAAACGGCTTCAAGAGCAAGTAACACTGATTCCTACTGTGCCCGAGCACACGTCAACAGATTATTAAATTACATGGGAAGAGGAAATCAAAGAAGCCTGGTTATCGTATGCATGTTGCCTTATTTCAAGGGAAGGTTTTACTTCTTTAAAGCAACGCAAAATGGAGCCTTCTATATATTTATATTTATATATGTACATATACACATATATTTTAAGGATGTGATTACAAACACAAAATGTTATCATCAAAAGCTAGTTCAAGAAATTCCCAACTGCAAAAGTTTCAAGATACAAAGCTAAAATTCATATGTTCCTTTTCTCAATTATGAATACTTTCACTAAACATAAATATTTTAACATATATTAATATTTTTGACATTCAAAATTGTAAAGTCAATATGGCAGAGTTATTGTTAAAAGCACATATGTACAAATAAGTCTTTTTTCATACATAAAGTATTTGGCATAATTATAACAATCATACTGCATCCACCACTGTTTGCTTTTATTTTAACTTTTTTTTTCCTTTTACAACATAGTGGCATCTCTTATTAAAATTAACCAGTTATGTACAAAAATACTTGAACATTTTTTTAATAGAAAACCTCTATAACCAGGCTCAGCAGCATATACCTGCTGAGTGGTTTCATTAAGAGAATATAAAAAAAGTGGTCACTGCCTTCCAGGTAAGCTATCAACAGAAACAAACACAGTTAAAGTAAACTGAGCTTCCCAACAAAAGAGGGGAAATACTTAACAGCATGGTTTTAAAATACAGTTCGGTATCTATCTATTGTCAAGTGAGTGTTATCAACAGTCAGTAAATGAAAAACACAAAGATACAAAAGACATGGCTACGTACAAGGTGCTTTTTCACACTCCTACAACAGGGGCATTAGCATCGCTACCTAGATCTAAGATGCTACCTTACAAACTTCCAGCTAGGTCAGTCAATAGCCATCCTCCTTCTACCAAAGGACAAGAGGTTCAGCTGAGCAGACAAGCTCCAGAGGAAAGAATGGGGAGTGTGTGTGTGTGTGTGTGTGTGTGTTTAAAACCAGGATTGAAAGTTAATGCCCTTGCCTTTTGAAAGTCCTTTTGCTATTTAATCATGCTAATATATTTTCTCTAAGGTTTTTTTTCTTCATTTACGCTATTGATTTAATACTGTCCTGTATTGATTCCTGAATTCTCGTTAATGGAACACATTAATCTGTGCCTCCGTAACACTTGAACATCTGCTCTTCTTCAATGACAAGTGTTGTGTAGGAAGCTATCAAGTAGGGAAGCACAAAATTCAAGTAAACATTTCTCCTGTGGCCTTTTCCTTCGCCTAACTGATCGGAACTCTGAAAGTAAATTGCACCTTAAAAAAGAAATACAGTCGATACTCGGGCGTCGGGGCACACAAGGAACCATCAACCCACTCACAAAGTAGAGTTTGTTGGTGGGAGCAGCTGTCAAACATCAAAGACCAGCCGAAAACCGTTGACAATCTCAATCCTGGGCCCCTTTCAGGATGGTGTGTAACCCGCCTGCTTCGACCTTTGAGCCTGATGATGTGCGCTGACCCGTTAGCTCTAGCTCGAGGAAAGAGCCTGAACCTCCCCTTACCTACAGAAGTCTTCGAAAGTAAGGACCGGCGTGTTACAATGTTCACTGACTTGATACACATGAGCATCAAGTATTCGGTAAAAAGCTGACATTGTTATCCCCCAGGGCACTGATGGGCAATGTTGTATTGGTTTGGAGGTTAAACTATATTTTTAAGAAGTGAACATAAAAAGATACAAAATAAGCTTTTATCACTACTTATCACTTCCACATGAGAAAGGTCGTTCATGGCACCCAGCCATACGTGATTGGGCGACCGGGAAGTTTGGATCCGGAACGTTCATTACTGTGCAGCATCGCATTAATAAGCATGTCTCCATCCCGCTCCTTCGGCAGAAAACCCGAGGAGGTTATTAAAGTGCCTACACTAACTGCCTTCTCCTGCTCGGTATTTTGTAAACGGCCAAGAATTCCTCGCAGGGGTCTAGAAAAGTGACTCAGAGCTGAGAGACTTTCCGGGGCAGGGGCCGCGGCCGCGACCCGGGCTCAGTCCTCCGGGTCCCGTTCTCCAGGTGGCTGGAGCGCGCCGGCAGGGGCTTAGGGGGCAGCGCGGGGGGCTCGGAGGTGACCGGAATGGACAGGCTGTGAGGTAGCGGGACGGGGCGCCGCAGAGTCCGCTCGTAGACGCTGTAGGGTGGCGGCGTCTTGCTCTCCTTGCGCACGGGCTCCTCCGGCGCGCTGTAGCCGGACATGGGCACGGGCACGGGCACGGGCACCAGCCCTGGGGCTGGCGGCTCGGTCCCCTGGTTCTCAAAGCCAGAGGTTTCCGACGTGCTGCACCGGCTGAGCGAGGAGATCCCGCTGCTGTAGCTGCCCGACAGGCCCGGGGAGTTGGAGATCAGGCCTGGGCAGTGGAACTCCACCGGAGACGGGGTGAATGACTGCACGGAACCCTGCTGGGGGGTCAGAGACAAGAGCAAGGGAAGCCGGGGTCACCTGGAAGCTCGGACCGCCCTGCCCGATGTGCATCTGCAGGTTGGTCCGACCAGGGTGAGGGCTTCCCTGCCAGGCTGGGCACAGAGCCCTTGACTCCTCCCCCTCTGACCTCAGGCTAGGAGAAGGGAGTGGGGGTCCAGATCATTAGTCCAGGGGTTTGGAAGGTGGGGGGCTTAGTGCCATTGCTCCTTTCTGGAACTGGTCTCTTGAGCAGGCAAGGCCCTCTTCCCGCCAGAGGCTAAGGAGGAGGTCGTGGGGAAGACACCCCTCAGGCTCTGCCCCAGCTCCGGACTCCTGACCTGAAGCTGCCCGCGGGCGCCCTCAGGCTGCACCTGGAGACGGAACCTAGTCCACCTGCACAGTCTTTTAAAGAAAAACCCAACTCATGGCTCCGATTTTTATTTTTAATTAGAATAATGCTCCTATAACTCTACATTTCTGGTATTTCCAAAGGTCTAGCACAAATGCTCACGTATACCCTGGATGGGGGCGATCTTGTGGAACTGTGCTTGGGATGTCCCCAGGAGCAGGGGCATGGACTTCCCACTTTGCCACAGTCCCCACTCCTCCACATTGTCCGCCACACACCCTGCCGCCTCCACTTATCATGTTAGCTCATTGGCCGCATCCAGAACTGAATTGGCAACTTCCCCAATGCGGAGGGCTAAGCACTCTGAGTCCTAGGAGATGCTCTGTGAAAGGAGTCATCAACATGTTGCCCGAGACTTAGTCCATAGGTACCCTTTAGAGCACGGGTGCATGTTAAAGTCTTGATACGTGGTCAGTCAAGAAACTGGGATAACTCTGTTGAGTCCAGTGCTTCTGAGACTGAAACGGGATCATAGGGCCACTTTTGTACTTCTCCATTAGTGCCCCCGAAGATGAATGTTTTATGGCAAACCCTTTGAAAAATAAAAATAAAAAGGTTGCCCCGTATGGACACAAATCCTGTCCTCTAGCAGTAGCCGAGAATGATGCCAGTCCAACTAAGAGGGCTCCTTCAAGGTAAGGATGGTGAGACTTCCCTCCTTTGGCACTTGTTGTCAGGACAGGCCAGTCTCTGAGGACGTCATGTGTGGTGAAGTGGAGGGGCAGTGGAAAAGAAGGCCTTCAAGGAGCTGGATGGACAGCGTGGCTGCCACCATGGGCTCAGGCACAGGAACAGTTGGGAGCTGCGGGGACTGGGCAGTGTTTCCTTTGGTTGTGCATTAGGTTGCTATGGGCTGGAACTGACTTGCCAGTACCTAACAACCACAATAACTAAGACAGGGAAACTCCCTGCTGTCTCTGTCAGAAATTAGACCCCCAAACATTCCAAATGGAGCGGGTCAGCTCATTCTCAGTGGGGTTAGCTCTAGCGTCTCACTGCTGGAAAACACTGAGCTGTATCAGTTAAAAGTTGCAAACTGCATTCCAAGGGTGGCAAAATGAGTAGCTTGGGAGTAGTGTGCCCTCTAATGTGGTAACATAGGAGTTACAGCACAAATGTTCCTTCTGTTCTCTTTCTCCTAAGCCTTTCCATAAAGATGTAGATAGCCCTAAGGCTTTGTAGGGTCAGTAAAATTATCTGCACATTTGCTGAAGTAGGCTACTCCCTCTGAAGCTGGCCGGAAAGACGAGAGTAATACCATTTTGGCCTCAGCCTTTGGAGTAGCACCAAAGACATCACTCCTGTTAACGTCATTTCTTTTGAGTCCCTGCCAGTCCTCACCTCTCTCCTGGATTAGAGGACCCGGGGTGGGGGTGGGGGTGGGAGGTAGATAGATACTTAAACACGTTCATCCCTTAGGCTAATTTCATGTTGAAAGATGAATGTCCAATAAGTCATCTTGTTGTCGGACAACTCTACCAAATCAAGTTGAAGAACACAGACGTTGATTCCACAGCAACTTGCCGTAAAGGTGTGGAAGGGGCCTGCTGCCTCCCTGCGTGCCACATCCAGCTGGTAGGTCTTGGGTTCCTGAGCAAACGCGTCCTGCGTGCTCTGTGATTAAGGGTTGCCCTGCCAGCACAACTAGTACACCGTTTGCTCTCACCAGCAATTTCTGCATCAGGAATGTGGGGAAGGCAAACGAAAGCATGGTCCTTGGTGCCTTTCTCTCCCACATTCCCAGTTTCTCTCTGGCATCCATGTTAGTTATGGTATGGATTCTAATTTCTATGCCCTCTGTAATGACCAGTCCCTGGAGAAGGACACCGGGCTTGGTAAAGCAGAGGGGCTACGAGAAAGAGGAAGGCCCTTGGAGAGCTGGACGGACCCGGTGGCTGTAGCATGGTGAGGAGGGCGGAGTACCAAGCACTGCTGAGTGCTGCTGTGCTTCGGGTCACTATGAGTTAGAACTGACGTGGTGGCCACACATGAACTGCCCTAGAGCGTTTACTATGGTCACCTGGCCTTCTCTCCTGGGGCACCACTGGGGGGGTTCCATAGTGATCCTGCCAGCTAGCAGCCAAGTGCACTTACCCAGGGTTCCTCAGATTGACCACACCACAGCCTGCCCCTCTGTTTTCAGAGGCTAGCTTGCCTTTTTCCCCTCCCTTTCACATGAAATAAAAATGCCTCGGTTAAAAGGGCACAGAGCACGTAGATCACGAGTCACGCAGACACAACTCATTCTCTCAACACTCACTTCCCCTCCTACTGGCCTCTGCAGCCACTCTCCACAGACCTCCTTCTCATCAGTACAGACCAGCCTTGCAGCCTGTCTAATCGAATGCAGATAAAGACCAAATCATACTCTTTACCGTCATAAGGGATTCGTATGTTTACAGATATGAAACAGCCCCCGTCTCCACATCAAATTCAAATGTCTGACCATTAAGTCTTTCTGATTTGTTCCCAATAAGTTTGTTTTTGTTCATCTTCCCACCTTGCTTTGCATGCATAGCTAATGTGAATGGGATCCTGGGCTCAAACTTTCAAAGAGAGCAAGAAAGTTGGATTGGGCCTTGGCAAAACACGGCTAATGATCAAGGCCAAAAGGCACAGAGGAGTACTGAGAAAGTCTTAACTCTTCATACTTTGAAATCTAAGTGCCTTTTCTCTCGTTTTAAAAAGACCAGGCTACAAATGTGTCAGGGAGCCTGCTGGGACCACATTTAAGTGCCAGTTCAGTCAAGGCGGAGACTCAGCCTTGTACACCCCCAGCTCCCCCATTTGGAGGATGAGGTTAATCATCTGAAACCAAAGGGCTGCAGCCCTGGGGGGTGTTCCCCTCAAAGGGAGAGAGGCTGTGCTACCTTCGCACCCCACACCCCACCCCACCCATCCCTTCTTTGTATGTGTTGTGCGGTGTAAATGCCAGCACTGCCTGATGCACCAGGATGGGTCTCAGGGCAATAGGAACCAGAGCCAGGATCTTGGCTCCATCTCCGGCACAAGGGCCTGTACCTTCAATGGAGAGCGTCCGGCAGGCGAGGGGGAAACTGGCGTCGTGTGTCTTGCCGGTGAAGCTGCAAATAGAGAGAGGGAGGTGTTGAAGGGATCAGGTATCAGGCATCAAAGAACAAAAAATCAAATCATTGTGAATGAGGGGGAGTGCAGATTGGGGA